AGACCCAGGCATCAAAAACAAGAGGTGACGAAACGCTGGGAATAATTAAGTTGCACTAAATCACCGGGCCCCGGTGGCACCGCGCCAGCGTGCTGAGGAAACTGGGGCACAAATCAGCCACCTTATTATTAATAATGGCCATGGCCAACAACAACTTCTTTTGTACATCTGCGGCCCCTCGGAGCACCCGGGTAGCGCCGAGGGCAGCGTGGGGACGACGCGCGACATCCCCTCGTGCCGCGGGCGCTGTGCCGTCCCACGTGCCGAGACGACGCTCCTGGCGCCGGGCGCGGGTGGGCAGCTTGGCGGGGGGCTGGAGCGGTGCCCCCCGCGCCCCCGGCGGCTGCACGGCCCGGCCCCCGGGGCAGAGCCGCCCCGTCCCACCTGCCCCGTTGCGGCAGCGCAGCCGGCCCGGCCGCCAGCCCGCTTGGCAGCGCGCGCCCGGCGCTGTCGAAACGCCCGTAAATCTGCCGGCTCGGTAAAACTCCCCTAAGCCGCGGGTAAACCTTTAATTCCCCGCGCTCCCGCCCAGCTCAGGCCCCGGCCCCGCGGCCCAGAAGGAGTGTCGTGTCACGGCAGTCCCCTAAACTCCGGCGCTTTTGCATTCCCATGCAGGTTTATCCTTTAGCCCTGGCAAGCCTCGGTGTTGCCTTCTGCCCTTCCCGCAAACGGGGGTGAGTGCAGCCCGTTGGCAGCACCGTTGCGGGGGTGCTGGGAGCCTCACGCGGGCGGCAGGGCCGCTTGCAGCGCAGCGGGTGCGCTTGCACCTTTGGGAGCCGATTAGCGCCGTGATGACAGCGGCGGCTCTTGCCCCACGCCGCAGCACCGCGGGTCCCAGGTGCCGGCGGGCGCTTGCCCAACATGGCGAAACCCACTCCCGAGACCACCCTTTCTTGGGCAACGCTCCTGACTCAAGATCCCACCCGGCGTGGCAGCCGCCTCTTACAACACAGCTCCCTGCAAACAGGTTTCCCCACGGATCCCTCTCCCAGCCTCCAGAGCCTTTCCCTTTGCTCCTTCCTCCCTGTTTATGGGAGCGGGGCTGAGCTGCGGGCCGCCCCGGCACGATCCCAGGGGACGGGCACGGAGAGGCTCCCGGGGGCGGCCGCCCGGGCTGCGGGCGCGCGGCCGGCGCGCTCCGGCGCGCAGGGAAGGGGTGCCGGAGCGCCAGGCCCGGCTCGCCGGCGCGTGGGCGGCGAGTTCAGCGCCGTCTTGTCAACACTTGAATATGTCGAGCATCACTCACGGGGCATTTGGCAAGAAACCTATTAAGTTAATTACCGCGTGTGTGTTTGTGTGTGCGCGCGTGTGTGCGCGCCGGAGCGAGCGGGTGCTCCTCGCATGCGCCACCTCTCTGGACGGGGAGCGCCGCTGCAAGCCCCGGCGCGCGGGGGCATTGCGCTCGCCCAGCCCCTGCCCACGCATCCCCGATCCCAACCCTAACGCCAGCAGAGCCGCGTCCTGCGGCTGCGGGCGGCGCAGGGCACGCGGGAGCGCTCCCGGGGCGCCGCTCCGGTGGGCTGCGGCACACGGGATGCTCCAGCTGCTCGCCCGCCTCCGCGGCCCCGCTTCCCGCCGAGAAAGCCCCGAGCCCCGCGGGAGCCCGGTTCCGGTTGACTTTTATGGGAAAACGGGAAGTCGGCGGCGGCGCTGGCGGAGCAGCCTTGGCAGGAGCGGCTGTTGAGCGCCCGCCAGGCGCCTCGCCGGCCGCCGGGGTTGTTTAACCCCTCTGGCTCGGGACGCGGGGCAGGGGCTGTCGCCTCCCGGCGCTCCCGTGTCCTGCGTGTTCCCACCTCCTCCCAGGGAGCCGTCGGGAGCCAGGGGAGCCAAGGGAGGGATGTTTCCCATGGGAACCTGCAGCATCCTGCCTGGAGCCTCCCCTGGTGCTTGGCCCCAGCCTCCGGGAAGGGGAGAATTTGGGGGCAACAGGCGGAGGAGAAGAAATAAAAATAGAAAATAAAGCTAAACCCACGTGCCTTTCCCAGCGCTCCCATCAGATTAGCCGGCCCCGTGCAGCAAGCGAGCGGCACGCGCGCCCTTTCATCTGCCCCCGCGCCGCCAAGGTGCCCGGGGCCGCACGGAGACAGGAGCTGGCGGGGGGCGCGTGGAGGCTGCACATCGCACGGAGGCCGGAGGCTGGAGGCCGGAGGCGCCTCGCGTTGGCCCCGCGGCCCCGTGCCCTCCCATCAGCACATGCCGCACCCGGCACGGTCCGAGCTCTGCTGCTGTGTGCGCAGAATGAGGCGACGGGCCTTTAAATGCCGGAATTAGGCAAAATTTGGTGCGTCTCCAAGAGTGCTCCGGAAATCTGCTGCTGGAAAAGCAAGCTAATCTTGCGGCTGCATGCAAGCGAGCGCTCCCGCGAGAGCTGCCGCGCTCGGGGCGGGAGAGCCCCTTGCCGCCCCGCGCCGCTTCCCGGCGCTTTGAATCCCGCCCCAGATCCTGAGGCCTTTCCCAGGCTTTGGCACCGTGGGGAGGAGGCCGGCGCCAGGGGCGAGCGGGGAGCAGGTTGGGGCAGACGGGCACGGGGGCGATGGCGATGCGGTCCCAAAGGGCGCACGGCAGAGTCTGGGCAGACCCCGTGCCCGCTTCCAGCAGCGCCTCTTTGGGTTTAACCGCCGGTGCGTGGAGCTGGGGCGAGGGAAGGGCTCCCGGGAGCCCTGCAAAGGGGCCGGGGAGCCTTTGGGCTTGCTGGCAGAGAGGCGCAGGAGCCGCCCGGGTGTGGGGCTGTGTGCGGGATCACTCACCCGCGAGGCTGCCTCTCCCCAGCGTTTCCCAACAGGGTGTTGGGATGAAGCTTCCGAAGGGCGGTGGTGCCGCAAGCACCTCCGCCCTTGGCCTCGGACCCCTTACCCAGTTGCAGGAGATGAAGATAGGGAAATTGTGGGGCCGCCGGCAACACCTGCTGGAGTGGGAATGGCAACCGGCAGCGCCCACATGGGGACATTGGGGCTCCCAAAAGCCGCCCGCCACGCATGGGGACCCTGGGGACGGGACCACGAGCTCCCCGCACCCCCGTGCGCGCTGCGCTGCGAAGCGCTCCTGTCGTCTCCACCACTTCCAGCCTCCCAGATTAAAAATTTCACCAGGCACCGGAGTGATTTATGTTTATTTTGCTCAGTTAATAACCCTACAGCACGTCCTTCCCTGGGGCAGGAGGGCGTATCAGACAAACATTCATCCCAATTACACCCGTGCCCGATAGTTGTTCCTCAGCACGCTTCTGGGGCAGCCTCCCGCGCTCGCGGCCGCCAAGGCAGCCAGGGCTGTGGGCGCGACAGCCCGACGCGCAGGGTGCCAGCCCGGCCTTTGCACCCTTCTATAGCAACGGGTGCTGCTGCCCGCGCTCTCCGCCTCTGCCCAAGCCACCAATGCCGCAAATCGGAGCTGGAGCCTCCGCGCTGGCCTGGGCACCAGCAGCTGGGACGGCTCCGGAGGCTCGGCTGCCCCCACGGTGCCGCCGGGCTCCGCAGCCCCTGCCCACGTCACCCCAGGAGCTCTTCCCGCGTGACGAGCCCATCGAGGGTGTCGGCAGCGTGGCTTTTCCCACTCCGCACTGTCTCTCCTCATCTTCCTCCGTTTGCGCCTTGCCCTCTCCTGACGGGGAGAAGCGGGCGCGGAGACGCCAGCGCCGGGCCGGGCGCCGCGGCCGCGCTGCCCTGATGCGATGTGACACTTGTCGCAAGAAGCAATTAGCATGAGCGGCTGACGGCGCGCTGATGGGGACGGGAAAATGAGCGAAAGGGCGACTCTGCCCTCAAAACCCGCCCAGCGCCACCGCCTGCACCAGTCCCCTGCAGCAGCGGGCTCAGGTGCCAGGTCTCCGCGGAGCCCTGTGGCTTCCCGGTGTTCCCAATGGTGGGAATTCCTCCTTCCAAGGGCAGCACCAGCTGAGCAGGGGCAGGCAAAGCGGAAAACGAGCGCAGCTGGAGTCATTAGGGCCCATTAGGAAAGAGTATTAATGAATGTGTAGCTCAACAGCAGCAGCTAAAGTGCATTGCAGCTGGGATGTGTGGGGGTTCCTGCATCCCGCTCCTCCGTGGGACTGCCAGGAACATCTGGGGAGAAGCCGCCCGTCCTGCAGCCCGGCGGGCACCGCGGTGGCACCATGCACGTCCCACAGCTACAGGGCCGGCGCGATCCAGGTGCGCTCCGCGGCACCGGCTCGGTGTGTGCAGTGCGAGGACGTGTCCTCACTTTCTCCCTCCCGCCTCCTTCCTGTTCTCTCCTCTTAAAAGGAGCTTCATCCTTTGACGCTCCCATGCCCGGGGCTAGCACCATCCCGCTGCGTCTCCGGGCTAGCCGGCAACCCACATCACGGCGGGGAAGCAGGGAGGAGGCTCGGCTGAGCGCGATAAAGGCCAGGAATAGGAGGAGGTCCCCGGCTCCCCTGCGCCCCAGCCGCCCGCCCCGCAGCGCTGCCTTTGAAGCCGGAGCCCATCCCGGAGGAGGCTGGCGGGGGACCCGGCCGTGAGCGGAGCCGGGAGCCTCCCTGCTCACCCCTCCCTGGGCACGGGGGCGTAGGGCAGCATGGGCATGCACATCTGGGCATGCACATCTGGGCAGTATATCAGGGGTTCTGCCTTGGTGGAGCCAGCGGGAGCATCTGGATGGAGCTGGAAGGCACAACTGCATGGAGCAGGTCTGGGTAAATAGTGTGCACAGCAACAGTGCAGCAGGTGGGCACATCTGCACGGAGCAGGCATGCACACCTCTATGGAGCTGGTGTGCACAGCTGCATGAAATAAGTGTGCACATCTGCACGGAGCAGGCATGCACACCTCTATGGAGCTGGTGTGCACAGCTGCATGCAGCAGGCAGGCACATCTGCACGGAGCAGGCCTGCACATCCAGGTGGCTTGTCCAGATCCATCTGCATGGAGCAGGCACATCTGGACAGGGCGAGTGCCCACATCTGGTGCCCTGCTTCCCACGGCAGATGCTCCAGGATGCGCCGCAGGGAGCAGGACGGAGCTCACGGCTGCTCCCTCTCGTTTCAGGGCACCGATCTGCGGGCCGGCCGCCCCCGGGGCCACGTGCTGACGGGTGAGTGCGGGACGCAGGCGGGCAGAGCATCCCTGGAAGCGCCCGCATGTGCGCAGCGGGCTCAGCCGCGGCCGCTTGTCCCCGCAGAGTACGCACGCCCGGCACCACCGGCCCGCAGCGGCTACCACCGCTACCAGCTCCGCCTGTACGAACAGCCGGCACACGAGGCCGTCGCCCTGAGCACTGCAGAGCTGCTTTCGCGGGGTAAGGAGCTGCCTGCTGGGATGCCTTAGCCGGAATGGTAAGGAGCATCCTGTGTTTCCTGTGGGAGCATCCCGGGCATGCTTCAGCCCATGCATCCCGCCGGAGCATCCCGTGCAGCGTGCTGTGGGTGTTCCTTGCAGCGTCCTGTGCGTGCTCATGGCAAGCTGCTCCGTGCCGACGCCGGGGGCTGAAGCCTCCAGAAGAGGGCACTAAACCATGACCTAGACATGCCAGCAGATTTTTTTTTTCCCCCAAAATATTTGTTCTTTGCTCAAATCCGTGGGAAATAGAAAGCGAGGGGCACGGCAAGGTGCCACAGGGCGCCTCCGCTCCGGCGCTGCTCAGGCGCAGCGCGGCGCTCGGGGCACCTCCAGGGCGGGTGAGAGCCGCGCTGTGCCCGGGGCGTCCCCTGCGGCCGCGCGGGCTCCCCCGGGGCCAGCGGAGCGTGGCCAGCACGCAGCCGCCAGCTAAGTAGGTCAGGAGAAGCCGGCGCTCGCCGCGGGGACTGGCCGCACTGGGCGCAGGGTGCCGGGGAAAGCCGCAGCCCCGGGCATTCGCAGCGGGGTGGTAGGAAGTCAGGGGCTGGGGGGTCCCCAAGGTCGGCAGGAAGAGCTGGGGGATGAAGGGGGGTCCCGGGGCTGCGCTGGTGCCCGGCTGCAGGATGTGGCTGCAGCAGCGTGGAATGGCAGTGCGAGGGATGCGCCGGTGGTGCGAGGGATGCACTGGTGGTGCGAGGGATGCACTGGTGGTGCGAGGGACGCTCTGCTGCCCAGAAAGGACCATGCCGCCTCTCTCCGTGCAGGTGCCTGGTCCATGGAGCGCTTCGTGGAGCGGTTCCGGCTCGGCTCGCCCGTTGCCTCCACCCAGTTCCTCACCAAGCACGACGGCGACTAGCTGGGGTGGCCACTCGGCCCGCGGGCATCTCTGGCCCAATAAAGCATGGATGGAGCGTGGCGGGATCCCAGCTTGGCAAGGGCCGGGGCTCTCAATCCCAGAGCCACTGGTTGGGCTCAGAGTCACCCATTTGGGCTCATTGCCACCCGGACACGACAGGTCGCCCCCGCTTGCAGCCACCACGTGCCCTGCGGGCACCCGGGGCTAAATTTGGCAGCAGAGGAAGTGACAGTGGGACATGTCATGGAAGGCGCTAAACTTGGATGGTTCCTTCTCTTTTTTGTATTTACGGCAAGCAGGAGGATGTAGCTGGGCGCACTGCAGCGGGCGAGGGGAAAGGCATCATGCGTCCCACATCCCGCAGCCCTGCTCATCCCACATCCCTCATCCCACTCCCACGTTTGCTTTGGATGCATAGGATGAGAGGCAACTGCTCCTTCTAGGAAAACAGCACCGGCCTCTGCGGGGTTTTTCTCTCTGATGGGAGCAGGAGCAGTGCCGGGAATCGGGATGCTGCTTGGGAACTGGGAGCAGAAACGGGAATGCCATGGCCTTAGCTGCTGGGAGGCCAAAATGCACCGCTCTGGATGCATCACCCCCTCCCCATAAGCACAGCAGCATGGAAAATATTAATCGATTTTTTTTTCGGTTGCTTTTCAGTAATTTAGAAAGAAAGAAAAATAAAGGAAGCGGTGCCGAGTGACGGTGCCTCTCCCACCCCGCTTATCTGCCCTTCCATTCGCTCACGGACGGCGCGCGAGAAAAGAGAAACCGCCCGCCTCCTAAATGTAGAAAGTTTTGCTTCTAAATCAGTTTGTGATGGAAAGGAAACACGTCACGTCCCTGGGGAAGTGGCTGGTTTTCGGCGGCCGCAAGCTCAGCGCCCGGCGCTGCAATGGAACAGCCCGGCCCTGAAATAGCTCCGCACCGTGTTATTGTCACCCCGAGCAGGGCGGTTTTGCTCTGTCTGCGCGTGTCATTTTTAGCATCCAGAGGAAGTTTTATTTGTATTTCTTAGCCCGATTTTCCATTGCCTTGTTTTTCTTTCTGATGGCCCGGGGAGGGGAGCATGAGAGAGAGAGGGGGGAGCCAAGGTGCACGCAGGAGCTATGAGTCCCCATTCCGGGCAAGAGCACAAGCTTCCCAGGATCTTGGGGATGTCTGGAGGTGCATGGACAAGGCTCCAGCTGGGAGCACCCTTGGCGGCTCCTCTCACCTGCACCCAGGCCAAGGATGTGGTTTTGCCGACAGGTTTCCACGCAGTCGCCCCTGCCCGCGGCGCCCGCCGGCCGCTGATGACACCGGAGCTGCTCAGTGGAAAAAATCCCAAAAAAGAAAGAAAACAAGGAGCCAAACAACAAGGACCTTCCCAGAAATGTGGCCCTCTAGCTTCGCCCTGACTCTCCTCTTGTCCCTCCATCCCGTGGGATGCTCCCTTGGAGCCTCGCGGCAAGGCCCCATGCTGGGCACACACCAGCAGAAGGGTCTACTTGGGATTTGGAGATATATACGTGTATATGTGTGTATATATATACACACACACATATACATGCATCTATATGTACATATATACAGAGAGTAGCAGTGAGCTTGGAAAAAACTCCTGCTCCCCATGCAGCCGGCGGCAGCTCCCAGCGGCACTTGCCAGGGGGATTCTTCCTTCCAAAACTGGGCTAGCGTCCAGAGGAAGCCTGTGCTGAGCCCGCTGCCGGAGTCAGCAGGGGGATAATTACCTATTTTGATGATTATTGGAATAATTACAGTAATGCAGAAAGCCCTGCACGAGCGGCACCCCATGGGCCACCCTTTGCGCGGCGCCCGTGCGCGAGCAGTGGCACAGCTGTCCCCATGCCAGTGTTGTGAGGAGCTGTGTCACACCGGGGGTGACACAAAGGGGCTCATCACCTCTGGGCAACTTTGGATTTCTTTCCTTTCTCCTTTTCTTTTTTATGTAAAATGGAAAACTGGGATTGATGGTGCTGGGCGCCGGCAGCTTCATCCCTGCCGGGAGGTGCCGGCTTCGGCTGCTCCCTCCCCGCCGCGGCATTCCCGGGGCCGGTGAGCTGGGGCGGGCCCTGGCAACAGCAGCACAGCCATGGCAGGAATTTAGGGCTCCCGAAGTCATAGGGAGCGCGGGGCTGGGCTCGTGCATCCAGCGGCCACTGTGCCAGAAGGCCGGGCTGGTTCTTAATGGCAGCAATGGGCAGGTCCTCGCACCCATCAGAGGAGCTCGTGGCTGCCGCCCCGACGCGGGGGGCCCAGGGTCCCCTCGGTGCTGCCGGTGCCCGGCTCCCCGACCTGCCCTCGCTTGTTGCAGGCAGCCGCTCTCCACGCCCCGCGCTGCAGCCGGCGCCTGGCCCGGCTTTCCTCATTGCGAGGAAGTGGCCACTTGCCCCGGGCCGGTTTCAGGGCCTGCGAAGGGAGTTGCTCTGGCGGCCGCCCAGTTTCTCTCCGCTGGCCGCAGCGCTGCTCTTCCCTGCGGCGTGAGAGCAGGAAGGAGCTGCGAGCTCCGCTGGCCGCCTTCCCACCGCCCCTGCTCCTGCTCCGCTGCCTCCGGCCGCCTCCCAGTGCTGCCACCTTCAGGGACCGGTCCCGGCCACCAGGTGCCCGTGTCCTTGTGCAGGGGCTGAGTGCAGGGATGAGAGCGGAGCGAGCGGGGCTGGAGAGAGGGAGCCGCTTCCCCTAGCAGGGACGTGCTTGGAGCACACACGGGCAGAGCCGCGTCCCTGCTTTGCCCAGGGCCGCTGGCATTGCTGCTCTTGGGCTCCCCGAACTCCTCTCGTCCCATGGGGCAGCCTCAGCCCTGGGGACAAAACGCTCACAGCCCTGGGAGACTGAGGCCGCCTTGTCAGGCAGCTCCACTCCACCCGCCTTGTGGTCCGGGTGGCTCCGAGGCTCTGCGGAGACGTGTCCTCCTTCCGTGGGCTGCTGGAGAGGAGCCTGTACCGCTGGCCGGCCAAGCAACCTCCCACGCACGCGGCCCCGGTTGTGGCACCCAGGCAGGTGACCTTGCGGGGACAGCAGCCACAACGTTGATGGCTCTAGATCGGCATCTAGAGCAGCCCCGAGGGCCCGGCGATGGGGAGCCCTGCCCGCCCGCCCCAGGGAGCCCATGTTCCCCCGTGCCAAGGGCTTCAGGGACCGTTTGCAATGGGTGAAATGTCCCACTTGTCATGCCACAAGGCATGGAAAGGCAGTCCTTGGCACTGCCGCTAAGCGAGCGAAGCAGCCTAAAGAGTTCCCCTTTCTCTCCCTGGAGAGCGGCCCCATGTACCTGTGGCCCCCAGAGCCACAACATGGCCCCGGAGCAGCCCCTTCTGCTAGCGCCTCGTGTCCCGGGCACAAGACCGAGAGGAGCAGGGAGCAGCCGCGTGTCAGTCGACAGCGGGGCCCAGTCCCACCAGTGTCAATTCCCAGTGTCCATCTACATGCACAGGGAAGGGCAGGAATCTCTGGGCATCTCCCTGCATTCCTGGGTGGAGCACAGCTGGAAGATTCCAGAGCAGAGCTGGAAGCTCGTCCTACTCCGGGTCCCCTGGTCAAGGTGACAATATTCCACTCCCTTTGGGCAAACCAGCCACCTGTGCCCATTGTGCCAGGCTGTACCTTGCACCCTCTCCCCCAACACACCGTTCCCATGCCAGCCGGGAGCACATCCCTCTGCTCGGGCTGGAGGCCACCTGCTCTTCATGGGCATTAGCCCCTATTAGCAACCTCAGCATTGAGCAGCCAGGGGCTCACTTGCTCCCGGGCTTTAAGGATACATCCCGTGCTCCCAGATGGCGGAATCAGGAGCAGGTGGCCGGGGGCTCTCGAGGTACGGGGCATAGGTTGCTGCATGGAGGGCAGTCACGCCCCCACCAATCCACTGCCCACCGCCCACGACGGAGGCCCCGTCCCCACAGGCAGAGCTCCATCCCGGCCGGGTGCAGAGCCGATCCTAGCCTGGGGCCGGGCTGCCTGGCAGCACTCAGAGCTGGGCCCCGGGAGCGCGTGGGGTGAGCAGCGCCGGGCCAGTGCCTGCTTGCTCCGGCGCGCTAATTACCGCACCGAGTCTCGCCGCGGCCTGCCAAGGGAGCCGAGCAAAACCCTCACCCGCTGCCACTGCGGAGGGTGCAGCAGCTTGCACGGGGCCGCGTGGCCCGCGCGCGGCCGACTCCTTCTGGGGTCTGCAGGCGATGCTGGGATACAGGGGGCTCTGGGTGATGCTGGGACCTGGGGGGCTGCAGCGCCGCGTCTGCGCCCCACCAAGGTGGCAGCTGCGGCACCCTCGATGGCACCCGCCACGGTCCCCTATGTGTGCCCGAAGCCGACCCTCTCGATGCCCCCAGCGCCGGGCCCCTCGATGCCGCTGCCCCGCTCCGCTCGGTGCCACCGGCCCCCTGGGCGCCCCCGTCCCCGCGAGCAGGGCGGCCGGGG